AGAGAGAGAGAAAGAGAGAGATCAATTGGTTGCTCACCACACACCCCAATCAGGACCGGTCCGGAGATTGAACCTGCAGTCCAGGTACGTGCCCTTGTTTGATCCCCAGCCTTGGTCGGGGCATGTGCCAAGGCAACCAATCGATGTGTCTTTCTCACATCAATGTTTCTCTCTCCCTCTCTCTTTCTCACTCTCACTCCCTCCCTTCCACTCTCTCTAAAAATCAATGGAAAAAATACCCTCGATGAGAATTAACAAAAATAATAATAGTAATAATATATGACAGAGCCCTAACTGGTTTGGCTCAGTGGATAGAGTGTCAGCCTGCGGACTGAAAGGTCCCAGGTTCGATTCCAGTCAAGGGCATGTACCTTGGTTGTGGGCACATCCCCCGTAAGAGGTGTGCAGGAGGCAGCTGATTGATGTTTCTCTCTCATCAATGTTTCTAACTCTCTATCCCTCTCCCTTCCTCTCTGTAAAAAAAATCAATAAAATATATTTTAAAAAAATAATAGATGACAGAATTCGCATTACAATATTTGATTTTCAGAAATGGATTTGTGGTGATACGCAGATAACTACTGAGCATTAATATCTAAACATATAACACTCAAACGTAAGACAAGGAAGCTACAGAACTCATCTCACTTTAAAGTATCAACCCTCAAACCCTACATAACACATTGATAAACAGAACCCAGCACCACATGAAAAAATAGATATGATAACCATGTGGGGTTTAAGGTCGCAAAGACAGTTCAATATCAGAAAATTCATATTATGAACGCCCAGGTTTTGTGGGTGATCTCTAGGGACAATGAAAGGCCTTCAGGAAATTTAACATCTGCAGATCAATATACTTAATGGAAAAGGAACTGATGGATCCTGTGACAATGATTTTACACACATGTGCGCGCACACACGCACACGCACGCGCACATGCGCACACACGCGCGCACGCACACACGCGCGCGCACGCACACACGTCTCTCAAACCTAGAACCCATGTTGCCTGGTGTAGGCAAACACCAGGCAGGTGCCCGGAGCGCCGTTGCCCTCTGAGCCTGTGCTGGCCACGGCAATCAGGCAAAGGAAGCGACCACAAGAGGCATAACTCGGGAGAGGAAAGGTGAGAAAGGGCTATGCCTGCAGGAGTTTCGATACCATACTTAGAGAACCGATGCTAAAACTGATCAACAATTTGAGAATCCAGAAAAGTAACAGGATACGAAATGAACATAGAAAAGCCATTAGCCTAGATCTCAGCTTCTGGCAGAAGTAATAGCAGAGAGCAGAATCCCTGCCATCAGTGAAAATAAAAACACCAGAAATTAAGAGAACGAAAAGACCAGCCACAAACTGGAAGATAACATTTGCAAACCACACACCTAATAAAGGACTTGTATCCAAAATATACAAATAAATCTTAAAACTCAAACAACTTAAAAACAAGCCAATTAAAAAGTGGGCAAACGTGCTGACTCCTAAAACTAGACATCAGTAACAGGAAGAGAACTGGAGAAGTCCCACAATATGCATTTCTACTAACACATGGGCCAGAGAAGAAATCTCAAGAGAAATTTTTAAGTATTTTGAACTAAATAAAACTGAAAACACAACTTATCCAACTTTGTCAGGCAATGCTACGAAAGAATGCGTAGCTTTGAGAGCACACACTAGAAAAGAAAGATCTAAAATCAATACTCGAAGCTCCCACCTTAGGAAATCAGAAGAAGAAAAGCAAAGCAAATCCAAAGTGAGCAACAGAAAGAAATAAGAATTAGAGCAGAAATTAATAAAATTTAAGAGAGGGATTCAAGAGAGATCACTGACAAAACCAAAAGTTGGTTCTTTAAGATGATCAGTAAAATCGACAAGCCTCTAGTTAGGCCAGCTAAGAAAAAAGAGGGAAAACACAGATTCTATCAGAAAAGAACCAGCACTCTCTGGCATGGCTCAGTGGTTAGAGTTTTGGACACAATACCATCTGCATTAGCACCCCCCAAATGAAATATTTAGATATAAATCTAAGAAAATATGTAAGAGACCTCTATGAGGAAAAATACAAAATTCTGATGGATAGAAATCGAAGACCTAAATGAATGCAGAGATATTCCGAGGCAGGGAGACTCAATACTGTCAGGATGACAGTTCTTCCCAACTTGGTCTGTAGATTTAATGCAGCCACAATCAAAATCCCAGGAAATAATTCCATGGATATTGACAAACTGATTCTAAAGTTTATACAGAGGCAAAAGACTCAGAGTAGGCAACAATTCAATAAGAGGGCCGATGCTGCCCAACTTAGAGACTCACAAAACTACAGCGATCAAGATGGTATGGCATTGGTGAGAGGACATGCATCAGAGCGATGCACAGGAGCCGGAAACAGACCCATGGCTGCATCGCCTGGTCTCGGACAAAGGAGCCACGGCCACACAACGGAGCAAAGAGTCTCTTCAACAAATGGCGCTGCAGCAACTGGACATCACGTGCAAAAGTATGAATCTAGACACAGACTTCACAGTCTCCACAAGCATTCAGTGAAAGTGGCTCATAGGCCTACCTGTGAGATGCAAAGCCCTACAGCTCCTAGGAGAAAACCTAGCTGACTTTGGGCGTGGCGGTCCTTTTTAGACGGAGCACTGAACACGTGACCCACAAAGAAACCATGAGCAAGCTGGGCTTCTTTTAAATGAACAACTTCTGTCTGCAAGAGACAACGCCAAGAGAATGAGAAGACAGGCCACAGACGGGGAGGACATATTTCCAAAGGCTCATCTGATAAAAGACTGTTATCCAAAATGTACAAAGAATCTTAAAACTCAACAATCTGAAAGCAAGCCACCTGATTAAAATATGGGTCAAAACCTTAACAGACACCCACCAATGAAGGTACACTGACGGCAAACAGGCCAAGCGGAAGCTGCCCGCAGCGGACGCCACCGGAGATGCCAGGTCACACCCCCTGATTCCACTGCACCCGCCAGAGGCCGGAGGGACACTGACCACAGCCCACGCCGGCGCCTCTCTCCCTGCTGGTGGGAATGCTAAGCGCGTAGCTAGTTTGGCCTTTTCTTACAGAATTAAACATGTTCTCGCCATATGACCCAGCCATGGCTCTCCTGGGTATTTACCCAAAGGAGTTCAAAACCTATGTTCACACACAAATCTGTACACGTACGACAGCCGCTTTATTCGTAATTGTCAAAATCTGGAAGCAACGGAGATGCTCTCCAGGAGGTAGGTAAGTGGATAAAAAACTGTGGTCCATCCAGACAGCGGACTATTACTCGGGGCTGAGAGAAATGAATATCGAGACACATAGGAACCTTACACGCATGGGACTGAGCGAGAGAAGCCGGACTGACACGGCTACACACGTGTGACTACAGCCATGTCACATCCTGGAAAAGGTCAGACTGTGGGCCAGTGAAATGACCAGGGCTGCCAGGGCTGGGGAGGCGGGGCCACACCTGGACACCCGTGAACAAAAGCCAGGTGGGCCATGGGCTCGTCCTCAGCTGATGCAGGGAGCAGAGCAGGGCAGGCTGCTGGGAGTCTGGGAAGACGAGTCACTAGCCCCCTGCCTCCCGGTGAAACAGGAAGAGGAAGAGGAAGCCAGGCAGCCAGAGCCAGGCGCCCTCCCTGTTCTCCCCAGGAGGGCACCCTGGCCCACAGGCCCAGGTGAGGGCACCTGAGCGGGGAGGGTGCAGGCATGTGTCTGTGCGTGGACACGTGCAAACACAGGCAGGCGTGTGGCAGCACCCGGTCCGCTCATTGGCATCCACATCCACTCCGCGCCTGTGGCCTCCCCTTGTGCCGGGAGCGTGATCTCTACCCTCGGTGCTCACACAACAGCATGCACCCTGCACAGTGGGAGGGCCTGTCCTCGTCAGCTGTCCCTCCCTGCCCCAAGCAGCGACGTGTGCACCCGGAGCCCCGGCGCCTGCACAGTGGGTGCCGCTGCTCAGGGTGGGCCTCGTGGACATGAGCGAGGGGGAAGGGGATGGCAGCTCAGCAGGGACAGCAGGGCGTGGGCACCGCCCCCAGCACCTCCCCTCCGCACCCGCAAGTTCTCGGCCGGTGTCTGTGGCCTGGTCCTCAGCTGCTCCTGTGTGGTCTGTCCTCCTGGGACGGCAGCCCCACTGGGCAGCCCTGGCGCCCCCGGCTGTGTCCCCAGCACCCTAGTGATTTGGCTGGGAACTTGCAGATGTTTTTGGAGGCAGGAGGACAGAGCCTAAGTGACAGACAGACGACAGGAGCAGTGCTCGCCTGCGGCACTAGGAGCAAAGGGCGTCGAGGCACTGGTGCGGCCAGCAACGGCCCTCTCTCCCGGGGGCCACAGCGGCAGCTCTGTCCCCGGGCCGCTGCATGTGCGGAGAGCGGGGGACGCAGTGGGGCCTGCGGGGTGGGGAGATACTCACTGAGCACAGCCGTGGTCTCCCCAGGGGGTCCGGGCGCCACTGGGGCGTGCACAGCGGCGCTGGGCTCTGAGGGCTGCGTGCCCATCCGAGTGACGTTCCGCTGGTTATCCGCATCCCCCGGCTGCTCCTCCGCCTTCTGCACGCAGGTGCTGGGCAGGGCGCGCACCAGGCCCACGCCCAACGCGGCGCCGGCCTCCAGGTCACAGTGTGGCTCCCTGCAACCCAAGGCCCAGCAGAGGTTGGAAAGGAGGAAGGCAGGCGGGCGTCAAAAGGGCCCGGACAGGAGGGTCTACACTACACAGCGCTCCCCAGTCCCCGCCTCCCTGGAACTGTGGAGTCAGCGTGTCCCAAACCAGCCCAACCACTTCCCCCAGGCCAGTGATGGCGAACCTATGACACGCGGGTCAGAGGTGACACGCGAACTCATTTTTTTGGTTGATTTTTCTTTGTTAAATGGCGTTTAAATATATAAATATATAAGATAAATATCAAAAATAGAAGTCTTTGTTTTACTATGGTTGCAAAGATCAAAAAATTTCTATATGCGACACGGCACCAGAGTTCAGTTAGGGTTTTTCAAAATGCTGACACGCCGAGCTCAGAAGGTTCGCCATCACCTAAGCCTCTCTTCCTCCCGGAGTGCCCTCCCCGTCACCCCCACAGGCAGGTGGGCACCGCCAGAGGGGGCGTGGCCAGGGGCGGCGAGTGGCCCCCATGCGCCTCACTCACTGGGGCTGGGGGTCCCGTGGCTCCTTGTCCTTGTCCTTGTCCTCCGCCTCGCCCTCCTTCTCCACAGCCTCCTCGGGTGC